AACAATACACTGTCACACTGTTTTACATACTGAATCTTCGAACGGTTCATGATCTTCTCTTCACCTAACCCACACGCACTACATCACAGGCCTCGACTGTCCATGCCTCGCTGTTCACAGTTTAACATCTTTTGATCTGTATTTTCCACACACCCACGCCTCCCCAAAGAAAGACAAGTGATGTTAGCAATGTAAGTGGAAGTGTAAAAGCTGTAAAGGGAGAAATAATTCATTAAAACCAAACATTCATATTTATCAGACTCCATGACCTCATATGTATATTTTATTTGTGACTAATTACCTCAAGAACATCACAAATACAGACATACGTACGAGCACCTGTAGTACAATCTTTACTTTGAAAGAACCATGAAGCAAACATTCTCATAATTGAAGAACTGTGAAGGAAAATATCTGAATGGTAGGCAATATCTCTATTTTCCAAGCACTTCAATCGGTGAATGGAAATGCTTTCTGGGGTCCTGAGAATATGGGCAGCACTTCCAGCATCTGCAGTAATATGAAGTTTTATGTGTGTCGGTTGTACAAGTCCAAATTAACCCTTCCGCACCGACATCGGTGTGCTTCACCGACTCTTTAAATAATCGTATGCTACCGACATCTGTGCAGTGCACCGACCTGCGCAGTGTTAGCTTTGAAGGACGTTGCTGATAAAACGAGGAAAGATATTCCAATTTTCTTTTCAGGAGTACATAGATTAAGGTTTTGTCTTTCAATTGGTATATGAGTTATTTATTATGGACGAATTTGTAGCACGGTATTTTTATTTTATATCGTTAGTGTAATAGTTCGTACTTTGGTCTCATTGCGCCTAGATTGCATTGAAATTTTTCAAATTCTAAGTAAGGAAAATGTATAAAACTATATATCTTTCGACTCTATGGTCTTTGCTTGTCTATATGAGTCACTCACTGAAACCCAAGACGAAGGTTTTCCTTCAGTGGGTTCCTGTACAGTCTGCTGATACAATGAAGTAGTCAAACAAGAGGGTCCTTTTTTCTTGGAACCAAATGCAACCTAAGAAAACAAACTTACGAATGATACAGAAATCTATGATGTCATAACAC